ATTACTTTTTTAAATCAGTCGCTCAAAAGATATACGCTATAAACAAAAAAGTTTTAATTATTGGGACAATTTTTTGAATCAGTGTACAACGGAAAATAAGGAAAGTCGATTTATAAGGTTGGTTGATGTTTAAGGCATGAATGATAAACTTATACACATAGTTTATCTACAATAGACTATAGTGCATGTTCAGAAGTAAGAGGAAATATTTGCTTCAGCCAGTGAAAGAAAATGCGAACTAACCATTCTAAAAAGCAGAAGGTAACTTTTTTTTGAGAAAACGTATTTCTTATCTTATCAAATAAGGTTTGATTGATCTGATCCGTAATGCTATATTCGTGCTATATGAGATTTCTGTCTTTCCAGTAATGTCTCTCTTTTCGTTTTGCTTGTCGTAAAAACTCGTTGAATGATGAAAACAAAAGAAAACATTAATGATGAGAATGAGTTCGGAACCAAGGACAAAAATCCTTTCACGCGAAAATTCGAAGGTATGGAGGCTAAAGTAAGGGAAACTTGCTGAAGACGTACTTTATCAGCTCGGAATGAAGTACCGGTACCATAAGTAAGAGTTATACTGTGTTATTTTTTTCTTGTTCTTTTTTTAAGGGAAATCGTTGATTTTTGTCCTTTAGTCTCGTTCACTCTTTCATCCTCGATCCTGCGGATACCTTTGTCAAGAACGCATTTACCGAAGAAGAGATGCATGATATAGTTGAAAAGAAGAGCGGGCGGGATCCACTGGAGATCGACGATGAAATCCTCGAATATATAAACACGTTTTCTATGGTAAGTCTATTTTTTATGGATAAATCAACTATCATTTGTACACTAACAGATTTCTGTACAGAATTCTACCATGGAAATAAGAAAAGCGCCGAACACGATACATCTTCGACTTGGAGATAATTTTATTTACAGAAAGATTTTACCTACGATCACATAAGGACAACGGTAGCTGATTGATAAGTGGCAAGGAAATTTTTGTTGGGTAAGTTGTTAATTAGCTTCTGCAATAGGTTAACGAATTAACATTGTGCAGGTTACGACTTCTTGAGATGCAACTCAATCCACTTACTCTAGATATGCCAGAAGCTTGGTATCGCATCAATGTTTGGAGAACAATCGATATTGCGTTTTCGGATATTCCATATACTTATGTTATAGGTAGATAAAAAAATACAGATATTTCTGACTATTGTTTGCAATCGACTTTTTTTATCCGAAATCTAGAGGTGAGAAGGTCAGATTATCCAGTTCTGAAAGAAAAAACCGGTGCAGGAGTTTGCCGATTATAGGACCAATCCAACGAAAACCAATTGGAAAAAAGGGAGATGCGTATGTCATGACAATTGGGGTCCGAGGCGGTACTAAACTAAATCTGATAAAAAAAAAAAAATTAAAGATTATAACTACTCTGAAATCCGACAATACTTCAAATTCTTATGGAGTTCAGATGCTTTTGCATCTGAACTCAATAATGTTTCAGCATCTGATATATCAGACGATATTTCAAATCTTGATATATGTAATGAGTCTTCATCCCAATATCTCGAATCACCTATTTGCACAAAAACTGCAGATCAACGCCATTACCATGGTAAATCATTAGATGACAAGGAGATGAACGACTTTCATGATTCATTATATAAGAAGAGACTTGGCAAAGAGATAGTTCAGAGCATCTGAGAAAAGAAACTTCGGAATCAAGAATCACTTCTTGAAGATGGAGGGTCTCAAGACCTCAACTATAATGTTCAGTCAAACAATAACACATTATCCGAAGTATTGGCTAATTCAGATGGTAGTAAATTGCCTCCAGAAGGCAAAATATGCAGCGAGACAAATTTGAAGTGCAAGAAAAGTGTAAACAAACTTAAGCAAGAATTATTTGCCCAAGTTGTCTTCGCAAGAGTTATCAATAGACAAAATAATGTGACCGAAATTTCCTAGACATGTTCCGGAAGTTATCTCTAATAACAAATCTAGCATTGATGAGGCCTCACACCTTGCTCAGTTATGCGATAAAGCTTTTAATACTGAAGATAAAGCAAATCAAGCTAATTTAGAGTTCAATACAATGAGATTATAGAGAAATGGAGATAAAATTGGTGATCATTGCTAACAGTTTATTATAAATTACTGTATTCTAAAAATGTTGGATCGTAAAATTAATCATGTATTGAAGAAGGAAAAAAAAAATAAATTAATTCGAATTTTTTTCAAAAAGTTCTTATTCAAGTCAATAGCCTATTAAAGAAATTTACCTAATTAGAATATTCTTTAATTTGATTAATATTATATGTGATAGAATTGTGGATCTTATTATATATAATAATTTTGTCATTAATTTATCTTATTAATTATATTAAAGATATTATAATTTTATTATAATTCTATCTTTTAAAATTTTTTTAAATTTAATTTTATCACATAATTAAAATAATAAAATCAATAATATTTTTATTTTATTGAGACAAAAACTTAAAAATTTTAGTCATTTTTTAAAAAATTTCTTTTTATATTTAAGAATTTAGTAAAAAATGAAAGTACTATATATATATTATAGGATTTTTGACTTGTTTTTTAATCTTATAATTATTTTTTAAAAACTTGCTCTATTAAAAATATCTATAACCTTTTTTTTTTTAATTATTAATAATATTATTTAATATAATTATAAGCAATAAGAGTTTATTTAAAATTTAAAAATTAACATATTTTATATTAATTAATTATCTTAATAAAAATTGTATTATCTAAAAATTCAAGATTAAACTAAAGCAAATAAAATTTTTGAAAACTGAAAATAAAGTTTTAAAAAATATATATAGTTAATAAAAAAAGAAAATAAATTTTTGTATTATAAAAAATTTTTATAAACACTTATTTTAAAAATAAAAAAATTTTTAATACTTTATAATTAATAGTTTTTTTAAAAAAAACCATTTTATTATTAATATAATAATATTACTTACTTTTTTTTATTACTTAAAATTAAGTTTTGAATTAAAAAATTGATAAATAAGAAATAATAATAATAATTTTTAAAAGTATTTTTAAATTATTTTACTATTAATAATAAAATTTTATTAGTTAAAAAGTTAAAAACTTTTAATGAATATTTATTTTATGCATAATAAAGAATTAGTAAAAAGAGTTTTTATAATGATATATATTAAATAACTTTTTGATATTATACTATATATTATAATTTAAAAAGTTTTTATTTTATTACTATTATTTTTTTAGTATACAATTATATTATTTTGATATTTTTATTGAAATATTAATTAAATATTTATAATGTTACATTAACTTTTTATATAATAACTAGCTTATTTTTATATACTATTGATTAAAAACTATATATTACTTAAAAATATAAAAAATATTAAACTAATTTAATTTAAATAAAATAAAATCTTATAAAGTATTCTAAATTAAATTTAAATAATAATATTATATTATTTTATTAAATTAATATTAGAACTATTGTCAATAAGTATTATTGTCAATAGTTTGTTACTATAGATTATTTAAAAAAATAATAAATTGTTAAATTAATATATTAAAAAAAAAATAATTTAAAATATATAATTTCTATTTAATATATTTATATTATATTTAATTAAATGGGAAAATTTACTCAAAAACTCTTTCTGCTGATCCTCTGATCATATACAAAAAAAATATTCACAAGAAGTTTTCATATTTCTATATTAATAAAGTCTTAACACTTTCTTTAAATCAATTTGAAAAAACTTCAAGAGTTATTACTGCTTCCTTCTTTTTCTTATTAATACTCCTCTTTGAATAAAAACTTGTCTGCTAATAACTAGAAAGTCAAGTAATACCTTTCCTAACAAAGGAAAGAAAGTTCTAAAAAAAAGAAGAACTAATTTGCCATTATTTCACACTGTAAAGAAACAATACAAAAGAGTATTTAGTGATGAAAGACAACTTTTTCACTCTCTTATCATTTAAGTGACTTCTCATAGTGCTTGTTCTTGATTTTTTTTGAGGAATTTTACCTAACTCAGTTTGACCCTGAATTTTGAGTAGTACAAAGTTTCTTACATTATGATTGGACAAATAAAGCTCATATTAATAAAAGAAGTAAACAAGCAATCATTGGTCACATCATATGTCTGAATGCATTTCTTCAGCTCTATAAGAACCTGGGGTTCACCATAAATCACTTGATATTGGGTGTATAAGTGGATACAGGACAAGCAAATCTCTTATATCAGTGATATCTTGAAAAGAGAACTGTTGGAATAGGATTCATCAAATAGCCAAGAAAGACCTCTCACTCCTCCTCTTCTCTAATAGACATAACAACACCTGGGATAGTATCTTTTTGAAGTATTTAAATACTTCCACTCTCTCATCGTATACTAATATATCCTTCAAACACAACCACCTTTCTTAGAATTCTTTTTTGGGGATGACATGTTTCCCCTAAGTACATGTGTCAAGGGAAATTTAAAAGGATCAATGAATCTTCTTTCCCAGTGCATGAATTAGATTGATCCACGTTATTCTCCCTGATAACAAATCATCCAGTGGATTGGAGAAGTTAGAATTTTACAATATGGAGATACTAAAAGCAATCGAAGAACAGGCAATATGCTCTTGACTGATAAAGTCCTCAAAGAGTAACTAGCTTATGAAATCAAAGTGATAGTAGTAGTATAGAATCTTAACTCTTATAGACAACTCTAAGAATATTTTATTAGTAATTATTTCTTGTATTTACATTTTACCCTGACTTGAAAGTTTAATAATACAAGGCTGAATCGCTATTTTTAAAAAAATATATATATTTAAATAAAGTTTTTTAATTATTAGTTTATTTTTATTTTTATTTTTTTAATAAGGGTTTACAGAGGTCCAGTTTTATTGAGGCTATTAACAGCGAATTAGTAAAGTATATTTGAAATTATAAATTGAAGTAAAGACTATATTACTTTAGATACTATAACTTGTATCACTTTTCTATACTAGTGGCTAAACATTACAATAAACCTATTTGTCTAGTAATAACCCATATAATATATTGCCAAAAGAAACCCTACTATCCTTCTACCTACGTTCAGGTCCATGCCATATATATTTGTTTTCTGGCTTACTCAAATCTGAAACCCTTTTCATATCTCATTCTGCTGAATACCCTTTTTACACTACATATTACAGTATGCCTATAAGATATTTATATAGAGTTTTAGATATTATCTTGTCTTATTTGAGTATCTTTTTTATATTACCTATTGCAACCTGTCTATGGGATAATCATATAAAGTCTTGGATAGACTATTGAATTTTTGGTAAAGATTCTTTTCTTATGTTAACATGCCTAGGCATCGTTAATTCCTGAATTTTATGGCAAGCAGATCTTCAACCTATCTGCAAAAACTTATTAAAACCTGTCTTGTGATAAAGTGACTTCAGTATTAAAACTGGTTGAAGCATCTTATGATCTTTTTTGTTTTTCATATAATCAGGCAGGATCTTAATTATAGATTGCAGTAATCATTATCATGAGCTGAATAAAATCTTTTTATATTACCTAGACTTTAGATAGTATTGCCTCAAAGTAGTATTAAACTCGAAAACAGTACTTATGGATCTGGAAGCACTACTACTATGCTATTGATCCACAGGTTTTTATTGGTTTATTTATTTATTTTTTTTTTTAAACCCTCTGTCAGGCTAGGTATGTGTGCTTTATTAAACATATGTATACTTTACATTAAAAA